CCCTTACCAACTGTCTATGCCAAGGGTCGAGCTTCTGAAACCGAAGAGAAGGTATAATTCTCGTTATTGCAAATATTTATGACTCTCACAACTAACCCATAACGACACACGTAAAATTCCACGTTGCAGCAAACATTCTTCAAACTCTGTTCCTTAGCGCGGATGAATACACTTTAGTCCGTCTTACAACATTACCTGAAAATTGTTTCCAAATATAATTTATGTTGAGGTTGGTAAATAGAGACAATGTACCACTTCCGCCTTTTTTCTTTCCCGCTCTGCTTTCTTGCTCGTCTTCTTCGTCATACTGTCCTCTACTGGGCTGCATGAACTGACAGCGATATCTACTGGCAAAACTGTTGTAATTGCAGTTCATTGTTAACTTTACACAACAAATATATATAAATACTTTTTCACCAGTTAAAGAAGGTGTATAAACATTTTGCTCGCATTACGTCCGCCTTTTTTCTTTCCCGCTCTGCTTTCTTTTTTTTTATAAATGCTCGTCATCTTCGTCATACTGTCCTCTGCTGGGCTGCATGAACTGGCAGCGATATCTACTGGCAAAACTGTTGTAATTGCAGTTCATTGTTAACTTTACACAACAAATATATATAAAAATACTTTTTCGCCAGTTAAAGAAGGTGTATAAACATAGTTTTATACAGTTTTATACACAGTTTTGTCCATAGGACTATAGTAATTTAACATAAAAAAACACTCTTAAAATATATACAGTCAATAAGGTGTGTACTGCAAGTTTCACACTGATATTTCCGTTCTGTCCAAAAAAGTACAGTACATCCTCTACAGCAAAACACACACAGAGTTCATAGAACTGAAGAAGCCTCTTGGATGAGAGGTGAAATGTCTTTTAAAAAAAAAACCTACCCATGTCCAGTTGCCTTCGATGTAACTATTTTTGGATATAAGTAATTGATTTCATTGACGATACTTCACCTAATTTTTTTTCTTTTTTCTCAGGAACCATTTCCTTTAAGAGTGACCCGTGTTGTAACATCTGTGCTGCCATCCTCTCTTGTGGCCCAGCGTGTGTCTGTTGAGGACCCTCCAGTGGAGCTTGACAATCTACTATCTGAAAAGATCTCACCTGAGACACAGCGAAGATCATCTGAGCACCCACAAATGTGCCCGACGGGAGGAAGCCCTGTTAAAAGCCACACCTTGATAGAAGCGAACTGGAATCGGCCCATTAAAAAAAAGGGCAGACAACAGTGTGGTGGTGTGCTAAGGTCTTCCAAGAAAGAGATAAATAAGCAAAGCACGAGCAGAGCAGATACCACCGAGATTTTCAGGAATCAAGCTCAGGATCCAACAGGTTTAGGAAATGGGGGCATGAGCCTGGACAAAATGGTAAGCAAACGATAAAGTACTAATAAAACTAACACAAAATAGCAGAGAGAGAACCAAATTTGATTCCCTAGTACTGTGCCACTGCACATTATTGTACCATTAGAAGTCATCTGGGATATTGTGGAAAAAAAAAATTTTTTTCCACTTAGAAATAGAAGAATTAAATACCCTTCCACTAGGTGGCAGTAGATGGGTGTTAAAACGATATGAAGATTCTCAGCTGTTAAAGAAGTTCTTTGCGTCCGTCTGTCGTTAATTCCTGAGGGTACATCAACAGTGTATTTAACTAAACAGGCACAGGTATCACAGTTGTGATTAAAACTAGATAATTACAATTAATTACATTTGTTATTGAGACACTTTTGTTTGATGGGAACACAGCTAGACCCACCATGTGTTTTATCTTAATATTTGGACACATTTAAACTTTTTAGCCCATGAATTAGGTTTCACACCATTTGTTGTTTTACAGCAGTTTTACCTTGTGTTCTAATGTGAATATTCAAACAGGAGGAGGAACAATCTTTGGCCTTTCTGACATCAAACATAGAACTGGAACTGACTCCTGAGAAGAGAAATGCCAAACTAAGAAGAGTGGAACGAATACGTAAAAGATTCTTACAAAGGTTAGTAAAAAAAAACAAAAAAAACAACTTAGGAGTATTATCGTTGTTATCATTGTTTGTTTGTTAGTATGAGGAATTCTTGCCAATGGCGTGATGAATTTTAACCTAGTTTTGTACACTGTTTGGGGCATTTTGCAGCGATGCCTTTTTGCGCATGCACAAAAGAGGCGTCCTTCAAATTGGGCAGCGGATGTCATTATGTCTTAATCATCAACAACTAATCTTTGAGAATACGTAAGCTAATGTGTAAGCTAATGCTAACGTGGTACGTAGAGATCTTACTGTTTGTCATCATGGTCAACAACTAGTGTCAGAAATAGTAAGGTGATTTGTAAGCTAATGCTAGCATGTTATGTAGAGAATCTATGTCACGATGGTCAACAACTAATGTCAGAATGTGTAAGCTAATGTTAGAATCTTAAATGACCAATAACAAACTGTAAAAGTAAGCAAAAATAATTGTTAATTTGTTTGACAACTAAAATTAGCGCAATGCCTCAGAAGGCTTTACAGGATTATTTATTTTACAAAATGTCTCAAACTTACGGGGTTTGGGGAATTATTATTTAGTTTAGTGGAATTCCGAGTGGTAAAAGACTACAAGTACAGTGTCAACAGATGGAAATGACTACCGTACACACTCGTGCATTAGCCGATTTGTCTATAAGCCGACCCGCTGAAAATTGACCCTAAAATGGTGATTTTTACAAAAAGCCGACAATAATTTTTTCATTTTTTGCTATGATAAAATTTCTTACTCCCGCTATGTGCATCAACCGCGAAAGCCGACAATATTTTTTTTCATTTTTTGCTATGATAAAATGTCTTACTCCCGCTATGTGCATCAACCGCGAATTAGAAAATGATCTCAGTAAACACTGTTTACGTTAAAACTGCAAAGAATTCGCTAACGTTTGTTGCGAAATTCAGAATAGACGTGATTTTTTTTGCATTACTGTATATCAGTGGTACTGTTGAAATATTTATTAAATAACAGTTGTAGATTGTGTGTAATGATAGTTTTGATCATACTTTCAACTTGTTTATTATCGGTGTTTACTATTGGTGGTTTTTATGCACATATAAGTCGACCCCCCGATTTGATCTTTATTTTTTGGTGTTTTAAATTCGGCTTATATGAATGAGAATGTATGGTAACTACCTACTGTATCTAATTATCTATTTACCTACCTATCTATTAGTACAGGCAGAGGGAATTTTACAACCTGCAGACACGTTTCCCTGGAAGGAGAGCCGAAAGTTGACCACACCCTTCCCCACACAACTGGAAAGGCCAAAGTAGAATTTGGTAAACACAGATTTCTCAACCCCAAATCAGATTCTTATAAATACTGTAGTTTTTGGTATTGTGAAATTAAAAAAAAAAAAAAATAGACCAGATGTTCTCTATTGCTTAATAAAACCATTTCTCATGTTTTCAGAAGATGAAAGTGAACAATCCAACAGTGCCTTTGAAAACAGCGAAAAGGGGACAAGAACCTGCGCACAACCGACACTTTATGAGGGAACATCTCAGCGTAACGATGACAGAGATGGGCCTGTGAAAATGACCAAGGAATTCAAATATCCATCTTCACCGCATCGGATTTCTTCCATAACGGTCTACCAAAAAGATGGAGGCAGTGGATTTCTGCATGTTGAGGCTAAAGAAAAAAGTCCCAAAGAAGATGAAAATCCCTCGCTCTCTTCAGATTTGAAGGCCAAGTGGTTCCTCTCCACCAACCGTTGGCAGGATGCCATACCTCTGCTGACAGATGACCTGGGGTCATTGTGTAATGATGAAAACGCCGATGTGAAGCAACGGCCAGCATACTCAGATTCCAGTGAACTTTCAAACTTTTCAGCAGTGCATGAAAGCTTGGAGAAAATGAGAGCGAATCATTCACTCTTCTACAAAATTGCCTGTGACATCAGTATTTCAGACTCGGATATTACGAAATCCGATGGGAACTCCAACGGCCAGATGTGTTGTACGCCGCAAGAGGAAGAAGAACTTTTGATCACAGAATCTGACAACGCGACATGTAACACTGAGAGTTCAACGCAGCGGTCAGTGTCGCCCCGTGTGAACAATAATAGCAACAGTGAAACATGGAACAAAGATCACTCAAAACAAAACAGCCAGATGGAAGTGAACGGGGCTAACCTTGGAGGGGATGCCGATGATTCTGTGCAGGTGACAGAGGAGGACCAGAAGAGATCAGACTCGGAGAAGGAATCAAACAGTTTTAGTGAGAGTGCAGTGAGTACAGTTTACGAACAGGGTACTAATAGCAGCATTTTCGCCACATCCATTCATGGCGGGAAAAGTGTGATCCGGAGGGATTCTTTTGGAAAAGCACGAGTAACTGTATTAAGGACCAGTCTGTAGAAGTACAAACTGCTCCAAGGACTCGGAATCCTTAGGGAAAACAATAAGGTTACCAAGGATGGCTCAATCCAATACTTTCAGGATCGATCGATTACAGGATTAAAAAAGAAAACAAATATAGCCAATTTGATTTGATACCGAAGCCAAAATACTCAATTTAGCTTGGACGTGCAGTAAACAGGGACACTATCACTATCTCAGCAACGGCAGCCCAAGAGGAAACAAATAGGGTAATAGATTTACATTGGTATTGGCAGATACACCAAGTTTTGTACATGAAAGTTGTATTAAGCCATCCCTAATGATTTAATAGCAATGTATTTTCTGGACTATCGAGCGCACCTGAGTATAAGTTGCACCCACTAAATTTAAAAAAGAAAAAAAAATAATTGTACATATATAGGCACCAGAAAAGTCATTGATCGCTAGCGGTACAAACTTTACGTTAGTTGGTAAAAATCCATACATTTGTTGCATCATTGTTTAAGCCGCAGGGTTCAAAGCATGTTAAAAAAAAAGTAGCGGCTCATAGCTTGGAAATTACGGTAACCATGTTAATCCCATATTAATCATCTAAATATTGCTGAGTGACTGGACCTTAAGTAGAAAAGGTGAATTGAATTCATAAATTAACAGAAAAATAGTGAGTGAGTGAGTGTTTCCATTATTCGCTTAAAATGTATTAAACCCCCAAGTTTGAATTAAACAAAAAAAAAACGCACCATCTCTGTTCTGTTGATGTTGTGATGTACATTCTTGGTGCAGAACAGAGAATTTTGAATTTGTAATTGGTGTCTTATGTTGACATTCATATGGAACTAATGTACAATACAGATATTTTTATGTGCCGCATTTTATTTAAACTTAAAAAAACTAAAATTGATATTCATGAAAGTGAAAGAATATAGTTGTTTTAGATCAATCATCATCATCATCATGAAAAGAACAATAAGGAGTAGAAAATATATTTTATCAGTCATTTTCTTTATCAATTACTAGACGTTTTAGGTGACCCCGCATGGGGTCGTGACCCGCATACCACATTATGCAGCTAATGTCATATATGTGCAAATGGGGAGGAAAGAAACATTTCTGAAGTAGAGAGCGGCAAGTGAAATAAGAAAATTAACATTGATTGCTTATGGAAATACAAGACTGCTGTTGTTTTTGTGATTAAAAATGATGATCCTCCTGTGTGAAACTCATTCTAACACCAACCTCACACATGTGAGACATACTGTGTATTTTAATATGATATTTTCCTTAATTTTAATAAAACATTGATAAACATTTGCACTGTAAACCTCAATATTGAAATATCAAAGTATTCGCCTCGCTCAGATATTTTCCCCCCAAAGTAAAAAGGTGTAGGTTCTCAGTCATCCAGGTCATCTTATCCAAAAATAGTTCAATATCAAGGGCAACTGGACAGAGTAGGTTTCTTGAAGAAGTTTCACCTCTTATCCAGGAGGCTTCTTCAGTTCTGAACCGAACAGAAGTGAAGAAGCCTCTTGGATGAGAGGTTTAGTATTCGAAGCTTTTCAACACGGTAGTCTTTGGTGACATCTGGTGGCCAAAATCAACTTTCAGCAAAATTTCACAAAATAACGTGAAAGTTATCACGAAATAACTACGCTTCCGTAATTTAATCACGTGATACGAGGCTTTTTTTTTCTCAGTGTGGCAGCAATACGCTTCCGTAATTTAATCAATTAATAAATCAATAATAAAAAAAAAATCAAATTATAATTTGGGATTAATTGTAGGGGGTAAAGATTACTTGGGTAGTTAACCTTTCACAATTTTATCCTTGTACGACAAGGGGGAAAATGACACAAGATTAAAAATTAGATATTGGCATATTTGTTATATATACTGTAATTAGATATATTAGATTATTAGATATGAGTTGATTGATTAGATAGCGGTTCTAGCCCAGGCATGAGCAAACTAAGGCCTGGGGGCTGGACGCGGCCCATTCAGCTTTTTAATCCGCGCACCAAACTTTTCCAAATTATATAATTTACTTATATTATCATTATACTTCTGCCTTTTCTTTGCAATACCCACATTGTACCAACAGATGGTGTAATGCTAAAAGCATCATAGCATATTTTACCTTCCATGCATGAGTTATACATGTCATTTATCTTAGTTCAACAGAGTGCTCCATCTATCTGCTCCTGACACGGCCCAGAATGCTCCATCTATCTGCCCCCTATTTCAAATTTAGGACAATGGTGGCCCACCAGTCAAACAGTTTGCCCACGCGTGAACTAGCCAAACCACAGCATTAGCTTTGCAAAACTATACACCGGGTCAGCATATGTCGGATGAACAATTTAGCCTGAACACCATGTTCAGCAAACACCAAACACCAAACACATCATCTCTGCGGTGAGGCACGGTGGTGGCAGCATCGTGCTGTGGGGAGGCTTCTCAGCAGCAGAGGGCGTACAAGCTAACTGAGTCTGCAAGAGAGCTACAACTTAGAAGATTTGTTATATGCTCCACAAAATGCTATTAAATCACCATGTAAATGTTTCGGAGTCAAAGCCCGGAACTTACAGATTGTGACTTAACAGATTGTACAGATTTAAAAAAAAAAAAAAAAAAGTACAGATTGTACAGATCTAAAAAAACAAACAAACAAAAAAAAAACAACTGTTCCCGCCCTATACCCGACTATCCTGACAAAGCTTGAGCTGTTTTTCAAGGAATAATGGAGAGGAAAAAAAATGGTGATGTGGAAGCCTGGCTGAAACCTATCGACACAGACTCAGTGCTGTGACTGTAGCCAAAGGTGCATCTAATAAATATTAACTCGCAGGGGGTGAATATTTATGCAACCATTCATGTGGCATTGTGGTTTTTTTTTTTCTCCTAATTTACATTACTTTGTGAAATTGTCATTCATGTGGCATTGTGATTTTTTTTTTCCTAATTTACATTACTTTGTGAAATTGTTTCAAATTCACAAAGGACGGGTTCTAATTGCGTTGATTATGATTTCATTTACAAAAAGCAACAAAAGGAGAAAACATGCAAGAGTGTGAATCTTTTTTTAAAAAATATATATATATAGGCAGTATACTGTAGTGCTTCTCTCTGAGCCCACTGACGCAGAGTTCCATGCAGCCCCTAAACATGTCTTTGCCACTTTAAATCCATGCCTGTGTCTCAGTCGATGACATCATTGTCTGAGAACACATTACATCACCCCTTCCCAGGCTTCTCTCTCTCGCGCACTCGAAGACAGCACCACCTTATGTTTACTAAGCCACATACCAGCGCTGACATGTACAAATGCACACACTTGAATTGTTTTACAAACGTCAGGCTAATATCGTCATGCGTAGTGATATAAAAAATTTTAAAAATGTGCTTTTTTTTAAATTAAAAATTTCCATAGCGCACAGAGACAAGGCAATAGACATGTATCGATACATCACAGGCGATATTACGCTGACTGTAAAGTAATGATCTGTCGCTGCTGTAATGCGGCGTTTTGGGTCATGGGTCATTGCATGCATGTAGCGAAAGGACATTGTTTTGTCTTTTTTATTTATCATGGCTGTCTTTTTTTTTAAAAAAAACCAAAATAAAAATAAAATGAAACTGGCAGCATGTCGGTTATATACAAAGAGAAAAAGCTCTCAGTGGGTTTACGATGGTCTGGACCTGTATCTGCACAACAACACTGCACGTACCTCAAGCTCCTCAAACTTCATAAGACATTAGCATGAGTAGCATTCCAGTGAGTAGTTTACACTGGTTAGTTTAAGACATTAGCATACGACACTGACTTCCGGTTTTATGTCGTCTAATGTGGCTTAAGTAGTGATTCGGTTGTTTAAGCTGTTATTCGGAGTGCCTGTGTGTTTGTGTGTGTGTGTGTGTGTGTGTTGCACGCGTAAATCAGAGATGAATGCCAAGACAATGTTTCTTTAAGACCCATTACCTTTCAGTTCTACGGGAGCGAGGGAGGGGAGGGGGGGCGTCCATGGTGAATAGATCTCTCTCTCTCCCTCTCTCTCTCTCTCTCCCTCTCTCGCTCTCCCTCCCTCCCACTTAGAATGTGGGTTTTAGAAAAGAGAAGGTGGCGACATGGACAGCAATGCACGACGGAAACATTTCATATTTTATTATCGTTTTGGAATTACAGGCTCCCCCGAAGCAATGGCTGTGGTAAGAATGCAACTTCACACACACACACACACACACTGCAAATGCACCACCGCCGCCACTTTTCCATTAAAAACAGAAAAAAAAAAATTGCTTGACAATAACGCTTTGTTGTTGAATGCCCATAGAGAAAGCGTAATTACAAAAGAAAGAAAAAAAAATCCTACACTGACGCGTGTGTTCATTCCTGCGCGTACGTTCGTGTAATAACGTGTTATATATATATATTTTTTCATGCTGTATTTATGCACCGCTCGGAACTGACAGGTGTGTTATAGCAGCCCACGGCACGATTGTTTTGGAGCGCGCTTGCTCGCTATGGTTTGCAAAGTGAGTGAGTGC